CACCGCAGAGGTAGATCATCGAGGTTCGGGCACGAACTTTGTATGGAAAAACATAGGGTTTCGTGCATCTGCTATCTCTCAAAAACGCATTTCGTGCGAGACTTCCTCCAAAACTCCATCGGCAACTCCTCCACCAGCACCACTTGCAATGCCATTTACAGTGAGGGAACGATCCTAGAGTTTTAACTCTTTCTTTGACTAACTCTTTCCCTGACTAACTGTTTCTTTGCTAACTCTTTCCCTCACTAACTCTTTCTTTGACTAATTCTTTCCCTGGCTAACTGTTTCTTTGACTAACTCTTTGTTTGACTAACTTTTTCTTTGACTAACTCTTTCCCTCACTAACTCTTTCTTTGACTAACTCTTTCCCTCACTAACTCTTTCTTTGACTAACTCTTTCCCTGACTAACTGTTTCTTTGCTAACTCTTTCTTTGACTAACTCTTTCCCTCACTAACTCTTTTTTTGACTAACTTGTTTCTTTGCTAACTCTTGCTTTGACTTCATTTACTGCTTCTCCTCCCTTGCTACTTCTTATCTTCCCCCCCTCTTTCTTTTCTCACTCTTTTTCTCTTTGACCATTACATCCTTTCCCTGACTAACTCTTTCTTTGACTAACTCCCTTTCCCTGACTAACTGTTTTTCTTCTTTGACTAACTCCCTTTCCCTGAAACTACTCTTTCCCTCAACTAACCCTTTCCCTGACGAACTCTTTTCTTTGCTAACTCTTTCTTTGACTTAACTCTTTTCCCTTACATTTTCCCTGACTAACGCTTTCTTTGACTAACTCTTTCTCTGACTAACTGTTTCTTTGACTAACTCTTTCTTTGACTAACTCTTTCCCTGACTAACTGTTTCTTTGACTAACTCTTTCTTTGACTAACTCTTTCTTTGACTAACTCTTTCTTTGACGAACTCTTTCTTTGACGAACTCTTTCTTTGACTAACTGTTTCTTTGACTAACTCTTTCTTTGACTAACTCTTTCTTTGACTAACTGTTTCTTTGACTAACTCTTTCTTTGACTAACTCTTTCCCTGACGAACTCTTTCTTTGCTAACTCTTTCTGTGACTAACTCTTTCCCTCACTACCTCTTTCTTTCTTTCTTTGACTAACTCTTTCCCTGACGAACTCTTTCTTTGCTAACTCTTTCCCTCACTAACTCTTTCTTTGACTAACTCTTCCCTGACTAACTGTTTCTTTGCTAACTCTTTCTGTGACTAACTCTTTCCCTCACTAACTCTTTCTTTGACTAACTCTTTCCCTGACTAACTGTTTCTTTGCTAACTCTTTCTTTGACTAACTCTTTCCCTCACTAACTCTTTCTTTGACTAACTCTTTCCCTCACTAACTCTTTCCCTGACGAACTCTTTCTTTGCTAACTCTTTCTTTGACTAACTCTTTCCCTGACATTCTAAAAGTCCGTAACACGGAAGTTTCTCCCCCTAAACTTCCTTTGATCACCAATGCACTATAATACACTGTATAATACACCATCACCACCACCACCACCAGCAGCAGCAGCAGCAACACAACAACAGCAGCAACAGCAAAAACAACAGCAAAAACAACAGCAGCAGCAGCAACAACAACAACAACAGCGACAACAACATCAACATCATCAACACCAACACAAACACCAACCCCAACCCCAACCCCAACTCCAACGCCACACCGAAACACCACTGCCATCATCGCACTACACTCCGTGACAGCGACACGCCACTGGGACACTAACTGACACAACCGAAACACCGAGGGAGAAAGAAACGTGGTATCGACACGCATCGACACATATCGACACACTACTACTACAGACTAATACATGCTAATTCTAAAGACACACCAGGCCAGCACAGCGAGACACTCCCAGCCTTGACCCGGCGGCGCCCGCCGACAGGGTGCACAACCCCAATCCTTTCGGTGCAATTATTGTGCATGTAGTACAAATATGTACAGATATGCACGGGTCCTATCACTTCTTTGTGTCTAGGCCCTGCTCCACCGTACCTCCATGTACTTTTACTTCTGCCTTGCTTCCCCGTCTTTTGTCTCTCTTTTGCCTCTCTTTTTGCACCCAAAGCCGCTTTCACTTTCACCATAGCAGCAGGTCTCGTTTTTCAATCCAGCTTTCCAAGCCTCAAGTTGTGCCTGGCCAGGTGACCAAAGCATCGAGTTGGGATAAGCCAGAATGCCTGAAGAACGCAGATGAAAAGCTGAACACCACCAGTTGGAAAGAGCGCCTAGCCATCACCAAATCGCTGCAAAGCAAAACATTGGTTTTTGGTAAGTTTGTGGCTCAAAGCGCTCACCTGACACTGCATTGGTCTTTGTGTCGGCCCCTTCCCGATGTAACCTTAGGAATCACCCACACACAACTTGGATGCAAGGTACAAGACTGCAGATGGCCGCGACTACTACTACAATCCCATCACAAAACAAAGCGTGCCTTGTCAAGCAAAGATCAAAGAAAGTGAACAAACTGGATGATATGTTTGCATATGTTTGCCGCATCTACACGAACATATGCCTATGTTCCATACATATGTACATACCGTTACATACCTGGGCATGTATGTATGAATGTCCTGTCATGTGGTGTAATGTGGCGTGTATGTATATATATTATATATATATGTGTGTGTGTTTGTGCTACCGGCGCTGTGAACGGACCCGCAGGTTTTGCTGGTTTTTGCTCTCGCCTTGCCCTTCAGTTAGAAGTTGCGCTGGTCGGTTAGAAGTTGTGCCCGTCAGTTAGAAGTTGTGCACGTCAGTTAGAAGTTGCGCTCGTCAGTTAGAAGTTGCGCACGTCAGTTAGAAGTTGTGCGCGAAGGATAGTTTCATTTTCTTCGGGAACCGGGGGCGCTGTAACATGTCTCTTGTCACTTGCCACACGCTCTTGATGCTACGCTGTAACATGTCTCTGGTCACTGGCCACACGCTTTTGATGCTATGCTGTAACATGTCTGTAACATGTCTCTGGTCACTTACTACACTCTCTTGATGCTACGCTGTAACATGTCTCTGGCCACTTGCTACACGCTTTTGATGCTACGCTGTAACATGTCTCTGGTCACTTGCCGCGCTATCCGCGCTCTTCATGCTACGCTGAACCCATGAAGAGAGGAAAAGAAGAGGGAAAAATGCCGTCTTTGCAAATTATTTAGCCCAATAGAATTCAATGATCAATGAATAAATTCCTAGCGTAATTCAAGGCAAAGCAACAAAAGCGTCATGGTGCCACAGTTTTCAACAAATCAATGAAGAATGGTTGAAATAGAAATCATTAAAAACACCGGGACCGCTATCAGCGCCGGTACCTTGTTTGTTTGTTTAGTCTTGTTTGTTTGTTTGTCTGTCTGTCTGTCTGTCTGTCTGTTTGTTTGTTTGTTTGTTTGTTTTGTTTGTTTGTTTGTTTGTTTTTTGTTTGTTTTTGTTTGTTTGTTTGTTTTTGTTTGTTTGTTTGTTTTTGTTTGTTTGTTTTTGTTTGTTTGTTTTTGTTTGTTTGTTTGTTTGTGTGTTTGTTTTTGTTTGTTTTTGTGTGTTTGTTTGTTTGTTTTTGTTTGTTCCCCACGTCTTTTTGTGGGGTTCTTGTTTTTGGTTGGGCACTCCCGCGCTTGCTCCTCCCTCCTCCTCCTCCTCCTGCTTGCTCCTCCCTCCTCCTCCTCCTCCTCCGCCTCCGCCGGCCTCCACATGTCCACACACAACTTGTCAACACACAACTTACTCGCACACAACTTGATCGGCTTGGCGACATTGACCTCCACTTTGCGTGGCAGGCGCGGCACTTACGGGAGTGGGCTGGCTGTGGTGGCGCGCTTGGTTCCCAGTGGGCGCCGCGGTCGCCGCGGCTGTTGCCATGCCAGCCATGCCGCTTGGCGACATCAACCTCCACTTTGCGGGGCAGGCGTGGCACTTGGCGACATCCCCCACTTTGCGTGGCACTTGGCGACATCGACCTCCACTTTGCGCGGCAGGCGTGGCACTTACCGGAGTGGGCTGGCTCTGGTGGCGCGCTTGGTTCCCAGTGGGCGCCGCGGTCGCCGCGGCTGTTGCCATGCCAGCCATGCCACTTGGCGACATCAACCTCCACTTTGCGGGGCACGCGTGGCACTTGGCGACATCCCCTCCACTTTGCATGGCAGGCGTGGCACTTGCGGCACTGGGCTGGCTCTGGTGGCGCGCTTGGTTCCAGGTGGACGCCGTGGTCGCCACGGCTGTTGGCGTGGCAGGTGTGGCAGGCGTGGCACTTGGTGACATAGGCTTTCACTTTGCGGGGCACGCGTGCACTTGGGGACATGGACCTTCACTTTACGTGGCGGGCGTGGCACTTGGCGACATCGACCTCCACGTTGCGGGGCAGGCGTGGCACTTGGCGACATCCCTTCCACTTTGCGTGGCGGGCGTGGCACTTACGGCACTGGGCTGGCTCTGGTGGCGCGCTTGGTTCCAGGTCGACGCCGTGGTCGCCACGGCTGTCGGCGTGGCAGGCGTGGCACTTGGTGACATAGACCTTCACTTTGCGGGGCAGGCGTGCACTTGGAGACAGGGACCTTCACTTTACGTGGCAGGCGTGGCACTTGGCGACATCGACCTCCACTTTGCGTGGCAGGTGTGGCACTTATAGCACTGGGCTGGCCCTGGTGGCGCGCTTGGTTCCCAGTTCACCAACAACACTTGTACACGGAACTCTGTCACGCACGTCCCTTCGACACACATTTCTTGCACACACCGATCCTCCACCATCCCGTCTTCACCTTTCTTTGGCTGCTTATTGGAAGAAGTTGATATGCGGGGTTATCCAGTCCTTTAATTTGTTTGTTTGTTTTGTTTTGTTTTGTTTTGTTTTGTTTGTTTGTTTGTTTCTTTGTTTCTTTGTATGTAGTGTATGTAATGTATGTAATGAATGTGTAATGCATGTAATGTATGTAATGTATGGATGGATGGATGGATGGATGTATGGATTTCATGTATGCATGGATGTATGTATGTATGTATGTATGTATGTAATGGTCTGCAATGGTATTTAATGGTATGTAATGGAATGTAATGGTATGTAATGGTATGTAATGGTATGGTATGGTATGGATGTATGTATGCATGTATGTATGTATGTAAGTATGTATGTATGTATGTATGTATGTATCTATGTATGTATGTATGTATGTAATTAATTGATTAATTAGTTAATTAATTAATGTATTAATTAATGTCATTAATTAATGTAATTAATTAATGTAATGTATGTAGTGTATGTGATATATGTAATGTATGTAATGTATGTAATGTATGTAATGTTTGTATGTAATGTACTGCAATGTAGCGCAATGTAATGCAATCTATTGCAATGTAACGTAAAGGATATGTAATGTAATGTAAGTATGTGTGTATGATATGAACATGTAATGTAACGTAATGAAACGTAATGTAATGTAATGTCACGTGACGTAACGTAACCTAATGTAATGTGTAATGTAATGTAATGTAACGTAACGTAACGTACTGTACTGCAATGTAATGTAATGTATGTAATGTATGTAATGTATGTCTGGTCTGTCTGGTCTGTCTGGTCTGTCTGGTCTGGTCTGTCTGGTCTGTCTGGTCTGTCTGGTCTGTCTGGTCTGTCTGGTCTGTCTGGTCTGTCTGGTCTGTCTGTTCTGTCTGTTCTGTCTGGTCTGTCTGGTCTGTCTGGTCTGTCTGGTCTGTCGGGTCTGTCGGGTCTGCCGGGTCTGTCGGGTCTGTCGGGTCTGTCGGGTCTGTCGGGTCTGTCCTGTCCTGTCGTGTCCTGTCTGTTCTGTCTGTCTCTCTGTTTGTCTGTCTGTTTGTCTGTCTGGTCTGTCTGTCTGGTCTGTCTGTCTGGTCTGTCTGTCTGGTCTGGTCTGTCTGGTCTGTCTGTCTCTGTCTGTCTGTCTCTGTCTGTCTGTCTGTCTCTCTCTGTCTGTCTGTCTCTCTCTGTCTCTCTCTGTCTGTCTGTCTCTCTCTGTTTGTCTGCCTGCCTGGCTGCCTGCCTGGCTGGCTGTCTGTCTGTCTGTCTGTGTGTCTGTGTGTTCGTATGTATATGTATATGTATATTATGTATATGTATATGTATATGTTTTTTGTTTGTGTATATGTATATGTATTATATGTATATGTATTATATGTATATGTATTATATGCATTGTATGTATATGTATATGTATATGTTTTTTGTTTGTGTATATGTATATGTTTTTTGTTATGTATATGTATTATATGTATTATATGTATATGTATATGTTTTTTGTTTGTGTATATGTATATGTATTATATGTATATGTATATGTATATGTTTTTTGTTTGTGTATATGTATATGTATTATATGTATATGTATATGTGTATGTGTCTGTGTATGTGTATGTCTATGTATGTGTGTGTGTATGTGTGTGTATGTATGTATGCATGCATGCATGCATGTATGTATGTATGTATGTGTGTGTGTGTATGTGTGTGTATGTATGTATGTATGTACGTATGTATGTATGTATGTGTATGTGCGTATGATTATGTATGTGTATGTATGTGTATGTATGTGTGTGTGTATATGTGTGTGTATGTATGTATGTATGTATGTATGTATTTATGTATGTATGTATGTAATGTATGTAATGTATGTAATGTACTGTTCTGTACTGTAATGTACTGTAATGTAATGTAATGTGATGTAATGTAATGTAGTGCAATGTAATGCAATGTAATGCAATGTAATGCAATGTAATGCAATGTAATGCAATGTAATGCAATGTAATGCAATGCAATGTAATGGAATGTAATGGAATGTAATGTAATTAATGTAATGTAATGCATGTAACGTAGCGTAACGTAATGTAACCCAATGCAATGCAATGTAATGTGATGCGATGTGATGTGATGTGATGCGATGTGATGTGATGTGTGTGTGTATGTTATGTTTGCGTGTTTTCGATGCTGTGTATGTAATGTATGGTATGTATGGGATGCATAATTTGCATGGTAGGCATCCATGTGTATGAATGGTGTGCATGTGTGTGTGCGCGCATGTGCTTGCATGTATAAGTGTATGTATGCATGTCATTTGGCGTGGTGCGGTGTGGTTTAGCGCAATGCACTGCACTGCATTGCAATGCAATGTAATTTATGTAACGCACTGCAATCTAAAGTAATGTAACGCAATACAATTTAATGTATTGTAATGTAGTATAACGCAATGCAATGCAATGCGATCTAAAGTAATATAAACCAGTGGATAGGTAGGAAGATAGGAAGGTAGTCAGGAGGGTATCTATATTTAAGCCAGTAGGACAGCTTCCGAGATTCTGGAAAGCAGACCCGGGTCTCTCACCTGCATCGGCAAGCATGACTCCAAACCGACTCTGGAAAGGCTGATGAATCACTGATGAACCATATTTTGGCATTTTCTAAACCGCCTCGCTCCTTTGAGGTTTGGGATATGCCTATCGAGCTGAAACGCTTGAGGGGATTAGCAAAAGAGGATGAGAGCGATGATGACGCTTGGAATATCTCAGGGACCCCAGTCTTTGGCACAACATTGAGCACAAACAAATTAAAATCTGTGACGTGCAGGTAGAACTTAGGTCAATTGCAAGATGCTGCAGGAACCCCAAATACTTGTCCGCTTGACTTTGTATTTATTGTTCCGCTGTGCTCCAAGAACAGCACCTCTTGCCGAGGAAAAGGACAAGAAAAAGGAAGAAGAGAAGAAAGAGGAATGGAAGACCCCCGAAGACAGGAGAAACGCTTTCCGCGAGGACAGAGACGTTCAGTTTCTGTGACGTTTCCATGCGTGATCTGTGTGTTTCCGTATGCTGGTGGACTTAAGCACTTCCGCTGCACCGGCGGCCAGTTGCTGGAAGACAAGGGCGTGAAAAGTAGCATGAAGTGGGAAGAGGCTTTGAAGCTGATCCAGGCAACTTGTCATCAACTTCGCATGTTGACCAGTCGGATTGTTTTGATTTCACCTGTCCAACAAGCAGCTGGGTTTGGCCATATAATTGGCAAAGCCAAGGATGATAGAAGATTTGGTGCCCTGACAGCTGCTGGTGAAAGAAAGCAGGCTTTTGCAGAGTACATCACACAGACAAAGAAACGCGAGAAAGAAGAGGAAAGAGAGAAGAGGAAGCGTGCCAAGGACGATTTTATCGAAGCCCTGCAAACATGGAAGGACTTGAAGCTGACGACTAGATACAAAGATACAGCAGAGCACTTCTACAATGAGGAGTGGTTCAAGCTCTTGGAAGAAGATGAGCGAGACTTGGAACTTGAATTTAACCTGATGGACTGATGGACGTCCAATGGCCGTACAAATTGTACAATGTGTACATGTGGTTCTTTGAGGGCTCAAAATGCCGTTGAAAATGGTTTGTTTGGAGAACAAACACCTCAATGGACATCATTTGGAGCTCACTAGATCACATCGGACATCACTGGAAGTGTTGCATGAGGTGTGGAAGTTTTTGATGACTTCATGGACGAGCACGAGCAAAAAGCGAAAGAGGATCGACGGAAGCAGCGGAAGGAGTACGTCGAAAAGGTCAAGGACATTTTGTGGACATCTTAAGTGTTCTTGAGTCAGATCTGGGTTACAGCTGTTACCATAGTGAAACATGAATGAACATAGAGTAATGGAGTAGTCAAGAGATATCAACCGATATCAATGTGAGGTGATCAATGTGAGGTGATCATGCGTTTGTTGCAGAAGCCATAGACTATTTGAAGCTTAACTGAGCTTCACTACTTGCCACGCATATCCTTTGGAACATTGTGGGTCATTTTGAACATTTTTGAACCAGGAGGGTGAGTGTTGAGATGTGTTGAGGCGTGTTCAAAGAGGTGCGTTCTAGCACTTTGCAGGAGACCTATGCCAACCATGAGAAGATTTCCGTCCTGAGTCGATGGAGGGATGTGCAGGCAACGAATCTATATGATCCTTAAAGAAAAAATGAATCTGCAAGATTCTCCAACTTCTTTCGGATAGGATGACCTAGATCAACGTAGCAGAAAGCTTGCCTCCACAATATTAGCAGTATGCAAATTAGTATTTACCAGTATGCAGTATGATCGACCTGATGACTCATGACCGACATGATGCAGTATGCAGTATGATGCAGCATCTCTTTGCCACGTTCCTTCTGCGCCTTCCAGGATGCGTTGAGAGACAATGAGCATTTCAAGTGGCTTTCAAAGCTGGAAGCCTTGACCTCCTGGGAAGAATGGGTGCCTTGGAGAAAAAGCTGGCATTGGCCGTCTTAAGCTCTCGATGTTTTGATATATTGCAGCGCTCCCTATATAATTCTATACGCAATTTTTTACAGCAAGTTGGCTAAATATGTGTAAGATGTGCCGCAAGGGTTTCCGAGGTAACCGCTCACTGATTGGTCCTGGTTCTACTCGGCTTTGTTGCGTTCTGTTTGATTGGTTTGTGGATCTTTGTGGCACAGCGGTTTCCCATGTTTTGTGAACCAATGTGTCTTTGATCAAGGTCCTCGAAACAGAGAAGAGTGAGCTCAAGGCAGTCGATATAATTACAAGTCTCTTCTTGTTAACAAGTTGGCATGTGACGGGCGCATGGCTTGTGAAATTTTGAATTTTGAAGGGCGTAGTCAGTGTAAGCATTTTGTCACTGATGGTGTTTGAAGCCCCTGCAGAGCGAAATCTGGATTGAAATGTGCAGAGCTTGGGCACGCCCCAATCTAACCGCCAGTTGATTCTGGCTTCACACTCTAGCCATGATTGACTCTGGATTGGGCCTGGAATTACAGCAAGCCTTTCAGTAAGCATTTCGTTATCTCTCCCACTATCATATCATACTATATTCTACTATGTTATATTATATGATATTATATTTATGTCATGCTACATATGCATACATGATATTGCATATGTCATTATTTATCATTATATATCATATCAAGTCATATCATATCATAACATATCGTATCAGTGCATATCAGTACATATCAGTAGCATGTCGTTATCTTATCACCATCGTCATCACCATCATCATCATCATCATCACCACTGCCATTACCAATATCATTATCATATAATATCATCCTACTTGTCTACTCTTTTCGTATCATGCCATATCATCGTAGTCTGTCAGTATGTCAGTATCATGCGACTGTCATGCCATTATCATGTCATGTCATTTTCATATCATCATCACATCACATATCATCATCGTGCCTGCCAGGAGAAAACGAAGAGCAAGTATCGCACAGAGCGGAAGAATCGGGATGCGTTCCGGGACTTGCTACGACAGCACGGAGATGAGGGAAAGATCACCTCCAGCACTTTTTGGGGAGACTATGCTGAGAAGGCGCGGAAATGCGATGCAAAACACCATGAGCCAACTACAGATTCCATAGAGTTCCAGGAGGATGAGAGAGACCATGCTTGGATGAGCTAAAGGCCGAAATGTTATCCTGAACACAGGTCTTTTCGACTTCAATCAACCTCGCAATGTAAATTGGTAAACCCAGGCTGACTGAATACAATTTGTGGAACAGATCGAGTCCGACAAAGTAATCCCTTTCCCCAACCTCGAACACACACCTAAAAACCCCCGATTCAGTCTTTTATCTATTAATTTTATTTAATTTTGGAGTCCTGGGGATATTCAATAAAAAGGGCTGGGATCAATATATGACATGGTATGACAGGTTGACATGCGTTTGCTTGCAATGACTTGATTGGGGGGTGGCAGGCATTGCTCAGACGTCACTTTTGATGTCGGAGATTTTAGAGAGTTATTTGGACCTCCTGCCTCTGTCAGGTTGTGAAGGATTCCCGCTACATTGCGTTAATATCGCAGCCTGGATCTACCCCGCATGACTTGTTTGATGACTACCAGGAGGAGCTCCATGACAAGTACAACCAGGCTCGAGACACAACAAATGTATACAAATATCGCCCCAGTGGTGAGCAACAATAAACTGAGATCAGGCAGGGCAGGTTGCGCAGATTGGGCATGTGAAAAGAAGGCTGCAACAAGCAGACATACACGTGACAGACGGTTTCTTGTGGCCTCGGATCTGGCGCATTTCGAATCTGTCAACCGGGCAGATCGATCGGCACAACTGATCGCTTCAGTAGGCACAACATGAAATTGGATACATTTAGAATTAGGAAAATCTTGGGCCTGCAAACATTGGAAAATCTTGGGCCTGCAAACATTGGAAATTCCAAAATAATTATTTTGTCATTTTTTTGCATTTTTGTTGCATTTTTTTTGCATTTGGGTTTGTCATTTTGGATTTGTGTTGTCATTTTTTTGTCATTTTTTGTCATTTCTTTGTCATTTCTGTGTCATGTTTTTGCCATTTGTTTGTCATTTTATTGTCATTTTATTGTCATTTTGGGAACGGGAAAATGGAGAAAAAAAAATGTTTAAAAATGACTACCATGACAGACCTTTTGTTATCTCGTGGCAGCACCAAATACAAGGAACAAGTGGAGAAACTCTTGGAAAGCCAGCCGGCGGTGAAGAAGGATAGGGCAGGGGAGCTTGCCTGGGGAATTCGTTTTTGGGCCTGCCTGGACGAGGAGTTGTCTCCCGGCTCGGGGTGCAGGGCCGGCTCAAAAACCGGGTGGGGGGGCGGGGCCGGGGTGAAATGGCCCGGGGGGGCGGCTCAGGCCCGAGAAGCGGGCCGACCTAGAAACTCAAAAAACGCAACTTTACCAGCACGCGAGTCATTTTTTTTGCATTTTTTTTGCATTTTTTTTGCTTTTTTTGCATTTTTTGTGCATTTTTTTTGTATTTTTTTTTGCATTTCCCAGACTAGGAGTCATTTTTTTTGCATTTTTTTGCATCTCCCAGACTGGGAGTCATTTTTTTGGTATTTTTTTTGCATTTCCCAAACCGGGGTCATTTTTTGCATTTTTTTGCATTTCCTAGACCGGGTTTGCCACCTTCACCGCTTGCCTGATCCTTATGAGAAAACGACAAGAAAATGAACAATGCTAGAAAGTAGAAAACGACAAAAAAATTACAAGAAAATGACACAAAAATGACTTAACAAATGACAAAAAAATGACTAAAAAAATGACAAAAAAATGACACCACAAAACAGGAATGACAAAAAAATGTAAAACCAAATGACAAAAAAATGAAAAAATGACAAAAATAAATAACCAACAACCCTCAGAGTTTGCTGGTAAGATTTTCATAAATTTAGAACATTTTAGAACCATTTAGATACAATGAGCACAGCTTGGGTCGGAACACTTTGAAATACGGAGTCGAGCAAGGAAATGCATGGAAAGCCATCAAAATGCTACTGCATTCTTGCGGATGTGGGCGGATGGTTTCGGATGTCTCAGGACAAGAACAAGCTGAAGAAGCTTGCCAAGTCCAAGGGCCTTGTGATCACTACCAGCTCGACATGGGAATGGTGACTTGCTTTTGCCATCTCTTGTCCCCAGATTTGTTTTTCTTTTGCGTGGCCTCTTATCTAGCCTTGCAAAGATGCGTTTCCAGATTGGCTTCCTCGATTGGGAAGTCATCGCTCTTGAACTGCAACCTCTAAAATTGCCAAGCGTTGCTGCATGTCGGGTTATGTTGGCATCGTTTGGATTCTTTTGGCGGATCAAGCAAAGGCTGTGCCTGTGTGCCAAGGGGCAGCTGTGTTTTTTCCATGTTTTTCATTGCCTCCATCTTGCTCCATCTAGCTAGGTTCAATGGAGAGCTGAAAGACGAGAGCATTTTCAAAGAGATTCCCTCGGATCATCGGAAGTCCATGTTTGAAAGCCTTGTGGTCAAGGCCAAAGAAGCAGAAGAGGACGCTGAAAAGGCATTGATGCCTTTGCTCTTGTGTGGTTTCACCCCATCTCCTTTCTGTTCGCATATGTTCGCACTGTGACGCGATGATTCTGTATTTGGCAGTATTTTTGAAAGTCTGCTGTTTATCAGCAGCGTGGTTTTTTGAGGTGGTGTTGAAGTGCTGGATGATTTGAATGAGCTACTTTGATCTACTTTGTCTCTTGTTGTCTTGGTGACATTTGGAAAGCTGCCTTTGCTCCAGGTGGCAAAGAAGAATCGCAAGAAGTTTGTCGAACTTTTGCAGAAGTCTCGGGAGGTGACGGCAAAGACCAGCTACGAGAAAGCCGGGAAGCTGTTGGGTTCCAGTCCAGCTTGGGAGGCTATGGACGATGCAACCCGAAGGCAATGCTATGACATTTTTGTGGATCAGCTCAAGATTCAAGCTGGCACAAAGGAAGATGCGGTTGAAGAAGATGAGGACGCCAAGAAGAAGAAAAAGGAAGGGAAAACAACAAAGAAGCGAAAGCAGGATGAGGAAGAAGAAGAGCCTCCAAAAAAGACGAAGAAAAAAAAGGAAGAACCCAGCAAGGATGAGGAAGAGACGACTAAAAAGAAGCCCAAGAAGAAGTGAGCGGGGCTGACCCGGTGTAGCTGCAAATTTGTTTGCAATCAAGCTCTCTGTCTAAATCAAAGCATACAATCATAGCATCAGCACAAGCTCCTATTTCCAGTCCATTCATCAACATTGGTTTGTATGCAGAAACCTGACCTTGGCGCTATATGCACTTGTGGCGCTATATGCACCCCATACCAGTAGGTATTTTGCCACATTATTTACATATTTTGATATTGTTACTTTGGGTGTCAGATAATACTTGCATCTATTTGCGTGGTGGCAAACGGCAGCTGCATCTTGTTCGTGACGTGTTTCACGAAGCATTGGGGACGAGCAAGGCATCTCAACCGCCAAACGCCCCGGAGGGAAAAAGGTTGCGCACACATTGTTGCTGTGTTTGTTTTGATTTTCCCTGCTATTCTTGTTCACTCAGATTTGTGTCTTCGTTAAAGGAAGGAAACGATAAGCAGAGTGCAAAGAGACCTGTGGCCTCAAGGCCTTCCACAGAGGATATGTGCATTACAGTCGGCTTCAGTGGTGGTGGGAGAATCAAGCCGAAAAGCACTTTGCAAACTTTGAACACCTTTGAACCAAACGGATACTTCGAATTGAATCCAATGCTTGCATTGGGAACGCAATGGATTGCCCCTGTCTCAATTTGGAAGCTAGTCTTATGATGTCTTATGGCCTCTTCAGAGGACAGGAAAGGAATCAACACAACTCGCAGGGGAATTCTCGCATTGAGCCAATTAAAGTTAAAAAGAGAACCCACAATCAAAACATATCAAAACATATCAAACCAATAGGGAACGGCAGGGAGGCCCACCTCTCCGAACCTCAGAAGAGTTTATATAACTATATATATATATATTTATATCATTACTGCACGTGCTCAGCTGAAACTATCAACACTTCAACAACTAAACAATCACGAACTGTCAGCGAGGCTATTTGCGTTCCTGCTGTTGGAGTTTGGCCGACATGAAGCGATTCTTCCCACAGAAGCTGCATCATGTCAAAGAACCTCATGGGAAGATACTGTACTAAGGACACGAGAGTACATCTCATTAAAACGATGTTGCCATGCTGCAGAAATGCTGACTCGATCGGTAGCAACACATCTAGGGCCAGCTCTAGAAGGTGCGAAGCCAGTTGTTTGAATGCACATAACTGGATTGAAGTCACAACCAGAAACAAAGCAGCACCATGGAGAATAGGGAAATATTGAAGGAAGGCGATATAATATATGTTGATACCTATCTATCGATCGATCTGTCCATCTATCCATTAATTTATCCATTTGTCCATCTTTCGATCTATCCTATCTTGTCCTATCCTGTCCTATCCTATCCTATCCACTTGTTTATCTATCTGATCTATCTATTTGTCTGTCTGTCTGTCTGCCTGTCTGTCCATCTGTCTGTCTATCTATCTTTCTGTCTATCTATCTATCTATCTATCTATTTTTTATCTATCTATCTTATCTATCCTATCTATCTCATCATAATTGTCCTATCTATCTTATCTTATCTATCTTATCTTATCTTATCTATCTTATCTATCTTATCTTATCTATCTTATCTATCTTATCTTATCTATCTTATCTATCTTATCTATCTTATCTATCTTATCATCTTATCTATCTCATCTTCTTATCTTATCTTTCTATCTTATCTATCTTATCTATCTTATCTATCTTATCTATCTATCTATCTATCCCTTCCCTTCCCTTTCCTTTCCCTTCCCTTCCCTCTCCTACCCTCTCCTATCCTATCCTATCCTATCCTATCTATCTTAACTATCCTATCCCATCCTATCCCTTCCTATCCCATCCCATCCCATCCCATCCCATCCGATCGATCTATCTATCTATCTATCTTTGGTTCTATCTATCTATCTTTCTATCTATCTATCTATCTACCTAGCTACCTACCTTCCTACCTATCTCTGAATCTCTCTACTTGTACCTCTCTACCTACCTACCTACCTACCTACCTACCTACTCTACCTCTCTACCTACCTACCTACTCTACGTCTCTACCTTCCTACCTATCTATTTATCTAGTCTAATCCAATCCAATCCAGTCTAACCTAATCTAATCTATCTATCTAGCTATCTTGTCTATGTTTTCCTGCTCTTCTTATGAAACCTATCATCTTGCTTAGCAACAATGCACTTTTGAGTCATCTTGGGGTCGTTTCGAGGGTCGTTCCAGACCCTGTCCATCTTGCGGCAGCATGGTGCTTCAATGGCGCCCTCCATGAATTTCTCTCACATTACTCATTCTGTAGCCAGATTCTCGAGGTTAGGGGGTGTCGAGGTTAGGGGGTGTCATTCTGTTGCCGGCATGGTGTGCCCACTTGGTCTGTAGCTACAAAGTCCAATCACAACCCCTCCCCAAAAATTTTGACAGGGATGAAAAATGATGAAAACATAAGATTTGCACCAGAAATTTTTCTCGTCGTAAGAACATTTTGAAACCAGATCAATTGAATAAGTGCTGCAATGATTGCGGTGCCATGCAAGAAAACCCTTTAGGCATGACTTAGGCGTGATTTTTTAAAACAGCGGCGCTGTGCGGAGAAGCACCGTAGGCATGACTTAGGCATGACTTTCTCTTTTGCCTGTATGACTTCACGTACTGGTACCTCGCATTGTCAACTTGTTGGGCCTTGGGCTCAAGCAGTGCACAGATCCTGGTAGCACAGGCCCCCTCAAGGACAGTCCCCATTTTCAGAGGAGGCAAGAGCGCCAGATAGCGCCAGACTTCGAGCGGCGCCAAGAAACAATGAATTTCGTGAAGAATTTTTTGATAAGAACATCGAGATGTATGGAGAATCAGGAGCCTCAGCTCGGTGCAAGCAGAGTTTATTGTGCAAGGGCAAAGATGAAAATATTGCGAAAGACATCGAAAGACCGCGTTACGCAGAATATCGCAGCATGCCGCCAGGAGACTGAGAATGCTGACCCGACGCCTGGACCGTCCCTTGTCAGTCACGGCCTGATGCTGCCGCAAAGATTCTACTGGTTTCTTCTTATCATACTGTCATGATCTGTCATGTGATGTATGTTGCAATCATTGCAATATGTGCTGTCAATATGATTTGTACCAACAAGCCCGCGTTTGACCCGTCGCTCAAGACTAGTAACTGCATCCCTGGGCAATGAACGAGTTGAATGCTAAGTAGAATCTCCAATACCTCCACATCAAATTGGTCCTCAAGGCTTCAAGGCTTCAAGGCTTCAAGGTATGATGTTCGTTTTCTTTAGGTAAATATTTGGTATTTTTGCTGGAGTCACGGCCCCGTAGACCTTCATGTTTTCCCCCCATTTGCCGAAAGGGCAGACACGCAGACACTGTACATCTTCCCCTTTGCATCAAGTTTCTTTCCCCCATAGGGTGGTTTATGCCCGAGATGTGTGGATGTTGGGGTGGGCATGTCAGACAATGTCTAGTATGATTTACATTTCATATAGGTTTCACACTTGGGTATGCCGGTATGCCATTGTCATCACAATATATCACAGTTGTATAGCGCTACTTGGGCATGCCGGTGTGTACCTCTGTTTGTGCTTTGCTTTTGGACTTCACGTTTCCTTCCGTTTTTAAATGGGATCAGCACTGAGGCGCTATGGCACCAGTACGAATGGCAGCAGCACCAGTACCACACACACTTCAGGAATGTTCAAGGAGAGCCAACAGTGAGCCACAAACAAAGTCTGGCCAATATGGGAAAGTACTGTGTTTTTGTTGTTTTCTGAATTTAGGTCAAGCTACTGTAGTCGGATGGTTGGTCAGCATGTTTATTTTTCGCTGCATCAATCAAGAGGGACAGGAAGCATTGAGATTTGAGAGCTACAGTCACTTACAAAATAATCTTCCTGGTACTGGGTCGGGGACTCGTATCATTTGGAATTCTATGGAATTCTTAAAGCACCTCAGAAAATATTGCCGCGGCAGCCATGCCACAAATTGGCTGCCTTTCTCGTGCCCAGGACATTTCTTCCAAGACTCCAGTGTTTGGAGTGGTACGATGTTCCATGGCAAAGCATGGCTGGCAGGCAGTGAAGAGAGGGAGGTTTTGAATGGACTTCAAATTGTTTGTTGCTGTTGTTCGAGTTTCTGTTCTTTTGATGTGGCTGACAGACTGCTGAACTGAGGTGATTCCGCGAATTCGTCAACTGACCCTCGGCTTGAAGGTATGGGAAGTTCAAGACATGGCTGCTCAAGCTGGCATCGGACATGATCATGCATGATCACACGCACACACATACACACCCTCACGCGGATATCATCTATGAAATACTTTGAAGTATCATATTAATATATTATTTATTATTATTATTCATATTATTGCGCTTGCATCTTGGCATCTTGCGTAGCCATCGAGCCATTCAAGCCGACTGTACTGCTGTGTCATGTTTGGGTAAGATTGAGCTGCCCCAGGGTCAATGCATTGAGCCTTGGCGAGACTGGGCACTCGCAATCCTTCAACATCAAGTCAACAGCCAAAGCCATAGTATTTCCTGCCCCTGCCCTGTCGGCCAATAGGAGCGAATGAGCCCCACTCCCTCCGCTTAAAAGCATACTGTACAGTATTGTACAGTAAATGAGAGAGAGAGAGAGATATATATATATATAGTATATGTGCGGCGGGGAACATTGTGTATGCAAAGTAATTCGAAAATGTTTTTTAAGGTGCAGTAGAAAGGCTACATGGCTAGACTATACATACTTGAGTCTTGAATTACTTTCGGTATTATTTTTTTATATAAACATGTTCAAAAAGGATTCAAAAAGAAAAGATGATATATGTCTATTATTTTTGCATATGTATATCCGCACCGGTACTTTTTTATATGGATCCAGTGTCACCGCCAATTCTAAAGAGTTATTGATCTGAATATTTTACAATATACCTGTATGTATTTGTATGATTTTGTATGTATTTGCATACCAACATTTTATTTTACAGAGACCCAATGTCACCACGGGATTCGAGTTGACTTGCAAGGCAGAACCTGACAGTGACAGGGAAGAGATGCTCATATTGCATGGTGACATTGGCCATGACATCCAGGTTTGTGTGGAGAAGGCCTGGAGGAATGCGATTGGTCATGTTTTTTTCAGGTTTGGCTTTGATTTTTTCAATTGCTTAAAGATGCTTAAACATCTTCAAGTATCTTAAACTGGTTCCATGATGTTCCATGATGTTCCATGATGTTCCATGTCATACAGAGAGTCATACACATCAACCCAACTTGCAACCCAACAGCAGAAGGGGTTCTATATAGGGGTTCCGGTTCCGTTGCGGGTTTCTGGGCTCCAGACCCAGATATTGAAACCTGAAAGGCACTGCTGCAGTTGGGAAGTTTGGGAACATATATAGATACAGGTTGAGCAGGTTGTTCAACCCAGCTTTGCAACCCAACAACCAATGTCTGAGGCAGTTTCAGGGTTCAAAGGTTTCAGAATGCTGTTTCCAGTTTTGGGTTCGGCAACAAAACGACGCACCATTCCAAAGTTTGGGCCATGTTGTGTGTTTCTGGAACATGACAGCCCAAGCATGACCCAGCGTAATCCAAGAATCTAGCCAAGCTAATTAGATGATCTTACAAGATCGTACCAGGTACATTCCCTGATTGCCATAGCTATGCCACAACACCGGTGCAAGTTTTTGTATTTTTCGACGGCGTTTGGCACTCCAGGTGGGGGACACCCGTCGCTGGAGGAACGATCGTGCCTTTGACGGAGAGCGTGTTTGACATTGCACACAATGAATCGGACGACGCATTTGCAAGAAAAGCGGTACTAGATTTGAGTTCATCGTGGATCTACTTTAACCATTGGTGAACATGATGCTCAAAAAGCACTGCTCAATATTTATTGCTCGATATTGCTCGGAAAATGTCATGAAGTTGTTCGAATTTTCTTGACGTTTCGGCCAACCACTCGAGATTCGCCTTGTTACCCTGATGTGCCCAGGCTTCGAAAAGGTGAAGCTCCTTCAAAATGCCGCCCGAAATCAGGGAAGAGTAGAACTAATGACATCAAGCTGCACATCATTGTCCGGAAATTTTCATGGTCCGGTCACAAGCATACCAGCAGCCTCAGCAAAATCAATAGATAGTACTTAATAGTACTGTAATTCGTCAATGCTAAGCTGGTTCGTACTCATGGCTGATAGCTTCGCGGTGGGTGCTGAAATTCCGGGTGGATTTGGGAGCAAGAGGAGACAACTATTCCATATGCATGCAGTAGCATTCAGCGTGGCCCCTCAAAAAGGGCAAGCTTGGCTTGGGGAAGTTGTTCTAGGATGAGGCAAATCATGAGTCAAAGTTTCAGAACTTCAATGTGTCTACCCATGCTGCCGTTGCTTCTAAACTATCAAACTAGCGACTAGCCGCTACCGAGGACGGACCTGTCGACCGGCAAGTTTGTCGCAGTAAAGCGCATGCCAATTTCATGGACAGGTTTCAACCAGAAGGACAGCCACCCACTAGCCGTCACTTGCCACACATACACATACACACACACACACTGATGAATACTGATGATACATGCAGCTGTGCGAAATGGGATGATGGAGGATCCGTCGTATGGCCTTTTGGACCCCCATGGCCTTTGAGACTGTTTGTTCAAAGGTGTTCAGCAGATGATGGGGTCATGCCATATCTATCCCTTTCTGCACGCTTTCTTATTCATTCTTATTCATTCTTATTCTCCTGATGTTGCATGTCAGAGTCTATGTCCAGTGGAGTGCAGCCATAGAAAGAGATCTGGAGCGGTTTTACCCTTGTTCCCACTATCATACCATTTTGTTGCCACTATCGTCGTTTCTTGTTACTCGTACCTGTCATATTTTGTCGATCTTGTCATGTCGTGGAGTGGCTCTATATGGCTCCACATTGCTCTATGACGTGCCATGAACTTGCCATGACATGATGGAGCTCGTTTGGGCCAGGACTTCATGAGACGACACGAGACAGAGCTTGAAATGCCATGGGTGGACATCGCCTTAGCAACTCGCCAAGACTTTCTTCGCTAAAGCCGCTAAAGTGCTAAAGCAGAATGGAAACAATGACGAGATGACGAGCTTCTGACGAGCTTCTGACGAGCTTCTGACGAGCTTCTGACGAGCTTCAGCGACCTTCCATCGCACTTGCCAGAAACAGGATCAGTTTAGAGGCCCAATTTTATCTAATTTTGGGAGCCTAACCTGATGAAATGGACAGGGTGCCCCAGCCTTCGCCGACAGAATATGTTGGTAAGATCACACAGTTGTTAAAGTTGCTACCTCTCAGGGAGAGCTGTGTGGTGCAATTGCTGATTGCTGACTGTCAGTCTTGCTGACTGTCATGTTCATTTCTAGCGCAACCTGCTAGCTGTCGCGGGAAATGTTTTCAACTTCTAGCTAAAGAATTCTGAACAACATGATTCGAACCTGTCACTGAGGCCAAATATCTCAGCATGCAAGGTGTAGATTTTGTGTGCAGCTTGGCCGCATTGAGAGCGCAAGGATACGCAAAGCAACTCTTGTCCCAGGGCGCAGTTTCTTGACACTGGCCAATGTTCGCCGCACTCATGACACTGCTTATGGATGCTTGTGGTCCTTATGACACTGTGCTTATTGGCGGCCCGTAGCCAATGGTGGCCCATCAGGTGATCCAGTTGGAACATTTCAAGATGAGAGCGTCCAGGATGCAGTTCATGCTCTCGAAAGATTTTGAAAGTTTTCTTGAAAAGTCGCCCTGTGAATTTCCCACTGGCTGCCGCCAGAAACAAATGCATGACACATCATAACACAATCACAATACCTTGAGGATTGCGTTTCTGGGCAGCTAGGGTTCGATTGTTGGGGCCAGATGGGGCCAGAACCTGCATAGGCATTTCTTTCAACTCTTTGTGCTTTATTGCGCGGTGAAGACAGATGTCTCACAGAGTGAAAAAGGTGAGACCTTCTTTGTGTCCCGCTTTGCGGACAAAGGCGATTTGCTACACGGCAGCATTACACCGTGGAAGTATGAACCAAACGTAGCCACATTTTTGTCATTTTTCTTCATGTACATTTGTTTCATGGGCCGGCATTTGCAGGTCCGTTAAGTGGGGCAGTGCTACGCAAGTGCATGCCACTTCTTTTTTAAAAGTTTTGAGAGGTTTTTGCTTAGGTTTGAATGGTGCCAGAATGGCCCCACTCCTGGCCTCGAGCGCGAGACTCTTGACTGCAAACTGTTGTGCGCCCCGCTGATATTTATCACTACAGATTTCTACAGCGCCCCAGCTGTGGCAACCTTTTTGCTGAGATGCCCATGTGATATCTTTGAAGATCTTCAGAGAATGCCTTGCTGTTTAATTTTTGAATTTGAAAAACTCCTAGGGCGTTGCTCAGACCGCTTGTGCAACAGCATCTCAACTGCAGAGTAGGACAGTTCAGCGCACAGAGATCAAGGCGATCTTCTCCAATGCATGTTGCAGGTTGCTTCAGTATTCTTACACTTTCTGGGGTGTCCCTGGGTGTCCTTGTTTCCTCGGCTTGTATCGGCTTGTCACGTTTTGACTGCGTTGCTTTGCCGAGAGCCTGTGATAGGTGCCGTAAATTACGGTGCTGTGTTGTAAACTGAGGCTTTGCGATTCGATGAAGTATTTGCATAGTCTAGGAATTGCTCATTGCGATCTGTCCCTTGGGCAGCTTGGTCATGTTGTTTGGAATTCTGGGTTGCAAGATCAAAGAGAAAGCGGTGGGTTAACATGATTAAAGCATATGGAAACAATTGAAACATATTGAAACGTTGTTTGAAGAAGAGAGGCGAAGAGAGTGCAGATTTGAGAAAAGCGCTGAAGGAACATTTTGCTTATGACCAGCGGCGATGGAAATCTGCAAATCAAACTGATCGACTTTGGCATGGCTGCTATCAAACAGCCGAGAATTGTATAGAGCTCAGTGTAAGAGGAAGCGCTTTAGCAAATGCGCGGCGTCCCCAAAGGTCTTTGTTTTTTTTCCTTGTATGGTGTGCTTATATAATGTTTGAAGGGTGGACTTGACATCTTGAACAGTCTTGAGCGAGTGAGAGTGAGAAGCATGACTTGACATGAGATGAACATGAATACGGAGCAGGCCCACAATGGAGCAGATCGCATCTGGATTCATTCTGATTTCGATTCATGTTCTTGTCGTTTTCGGCTGGTGGGTGAAATGGCTTTGTGTGAGATTGGAGCGCGCGGCAAGCCGTCATATCAAGCACCAGAAATGCACAAGGCCGATTATGAAGCTTGGCACTTGTACTGTACAGGGTCAAGCCCAGCTACTTCATCATTGATTATGATATCATTTCTTGATGGTTTGCTCGCGCTAAAGCAGGCAAGCTTTGGAGACGTCGAGATGTAAAGTCAGATATTCGATTCAAATCTATTATATATTTGCTTTACACACACCATTCTCTGCTGTGCTCTGTCGAAGTTGGAAGTGGTTCCCCGCATGATTCAAAAAAGATGATGGTGCTGGTGCTGGTGGTGGTGGTGGTGGTGGTGGACTTTTTCTTCAGCATTGCACTTTCGATGACGCCTGGAATCCCCATCAAGGGCGAGATACCGTCTTCAATATCATTATACAGAGTACACCTAGTTTTTTTTCAACGAGCCTGCATACTGTACGCATGTTCTAGGCTTATCAGAATAGTCCTTGAAGAAGGCGTACTTGTGTGCAACAGTCCTGCCACCCTATGCCACCCTCGCCGCTCTCAGGATCCATTGCTGTCCGATGCCTTTGCTGTGGGGGTTGTCATTTTCGGGCAACTCGGCGCCAGCTCCATGAGTAGCCCATGAGGGAAAGACGGGAAAGACATGGAAAGACACCAGGATCACAGTGATCTTGTCCCGGACAGCAAGTCATGTGGTGGAAGTTTGGTTCATGCAGAGTCATGCACCTGCTGGCTACCCTGGACTAGCCATCCCCTCTATGGGGTTGTGGGGTGGTCGCCCAACCCAGAAGAAAAAACATGTGGGTCAGAGATTGGCCTTACTATGCGAGGGGGTCCGGTTTTTTTATTGAGTGCACAAACATTTAGGTGGGAAAGTAGCAATCCTGGGTCAACATCGTTTTTGACAGGGTGATTTGATGGCAGAGGCAATGGGGAGAGCGAGAGAGAGAGAGAGAGAGGGAGGAAAATCAGAAATTGAGGGCATGTGTGGGTGTGAGTATGTGTGTGTGTGCGCGTTTGTGTTTGTGTTTGTGTTTGCGTGTGTGTTTATGTGCTTGTGTGTTTATGTTTGTGTCTCTGAACGTGTATGCGAAAGTGTGTGGAATTGCACATGAGGCAGGGTCATACAAATATACACCATGCGTGTATATATATGTGCATGCATATTCGGCATGTGCCAACACGACGCCGATTTTTTCTTTGGGTGAAACATGCGTTTCCGCGTGCCGCTGGAATATGCTGGACCAGGATCATAGAATGGGAATGCCAGGGCAGGACCAGAATCAGTTTCTTTCCCAGCTTTATTCAGTCTCTTTGTGGATTACATTGGGTTACCACTGATTTCCCATTCCAGCTCAGGATGGTCGCGCAAGATTATCCTTGGCTTTCTACCAAGCGCGGAACCCAAGCGAGTGAGCTTCCAGCGAGTGGGCCCTGTCAAGTACAAGCGGGGCTCCCAGCAACAGCGCTTTGACTTCTGAGGCCGGGCGGATGCAAATGCTTTGACTTTTCGAGCACCAAAGGTTTGCGCGCTTATTTGCAAAAGCGGAAGGCCAGTCACTCGGCCACATCTCAATAGCTTCATTTCCTGTTGTGCTCAAGCGGAAACCAGAGGAAGCCAGCTGCATAGATGTGATATACCTCATGAGCCTTCAGAACATGGTTTTACCGTTTGAATATGAAACTTACATCACGTGTTGCCTGGCTTGCTCTGGCGGTGGTGGGGCGGGCAAAAGACTTGGAGCTAGTGAAAAAAGATTGCAGCATGTGACGTGTGTGACATGTGTGAATGTTCCAAAGGTTCACCAGCTGATCAGGGTTCTCGCGTTTGATAAAGCTTAGCAGGTTTGCAAGGTAACCTTCATACGTTAGGCAACTCAAATGTGACGCATTGAAGTTTGGAGTATTGCCATGCATCCTTACCATGTATATAAAATGTATATCTTTTGAGTGTGTTTGCAGCGTACTTGGTTGGAGGAAACTCCCGGGATTTAGCGGACGGTTCAGGCGCACGCCCAAGAATATCAAATAACGTACCCAGTTTGCACCTCCACTTCTGCATTGCCATCCATCCAAGCCTCAGGAAACTCCAACGGAGCACGCCTGGCTGAAGTTTTTACAGCGGCTTTGCTGTGATAGTTCTGAATTTTCACCATCGCCGCCCTGTTTGGTGTTGTGCCGGGGCCAGATCCCCAAATTTCATCAAATTTCTTGGTAAGAATTTCCAAGTTGTTACTGCAGATCCCAGCAAGGTATGCTGTAGTGAAACAGGGCCTGTGGTTTCTTTAGGAGTAGCAAGATGCGCGCTAACTGTGCGCTGGAGCTTTGGCGCGTGCTGTCGAATCGGCTTTGGTGACTTCTTGGATCTTGTTGGTTTGGTCGGCCCAGGAGCCATTGGTGCAACTGCTTGAGATGTTGCTGCAGAACCTGCCAGAACACCGAGCAAGGCAGGTACATTTGCCGGAGCTTGATGCCAGCATGATGCCAGCACACACCTCGCATCACGTATGTGCAACTTAGAAACCAGATGAGAGTTTAGCACGCTTCCCGCATCTTCCCGCTCATTTGTGGTTCCACTTGCTCGCGCTGCCCGTGGATAGAATTGATTGTCCGTCATATCCTAGCTGTCCTTCTGCGCTCTTCAAACTTGGCTGTGTGTGGGTCAGGCAGGCTGCCTAGGTCCAGTTTCTGAATCAGTGCAGTCATGTCTTGTTGTGTCGCGCCAGGCTTGAACATAGTGATTTTCCATGGCTGGATGAATAGATCGGCTTGGCACCCCTCGCTTTCGCCATCCTTAAGTCCATGCTCAGTGGCGATGGTTTTCGATGGCAGCTCTGGGCTGCTGGTATTTGTGTCGCCTTTGCTGGCGGCCGTTATCACTAAATAGGGCTGCAGAGGTCTCCTTGACAGAAAACTACATTTAACATCATGGAATTCAGTCGCCGTGTCAACTGGCTAACATTTGCCCGGGCTAGTGTTGGAAGGGCAGCTGATGAATTTCGCTGCCTCCTTTAACATGTTGCGCCCAGTTTTCGCTCCTCTGCCAACACCAACCGTGTGGAGTGAGCACACTTGGCGTTTGACCCAAGATAAAATCGTGACTTGGTGCGCGGGTGGCCTAAGTTGGTTGGTGCAGGTTGCTAATTCCTTCAGATATGCAGAAATTCTATGAAGTTATGTAAGGATATACTCGAGATCATACTGATCATACTGTACGGCCATGTACGGACAAGATCAGCGCTATGATTTCACATCCAACTCTGATATTAGGCCGGGTCTTCGGGCCATAAATCTGCAATCGACCAAGCCGCTTATGGCGCTCGCCAGCAATTCTGCTCAGCAAGACCAGCGCTCACAGCAAGTGCTCAAAGTGCTTTCATGCTGGCAGCGGCTGGCAGGCCGCCAGGCCAGTTTGATCCTTCCTTTGTTAGACCCACTTCGATACCTACATTCAATTCTCTCCGCTTGAATTTCCATTGCGTCTCGTACGGATTGCAACTGAAAAAGTCAAACCAAATTTGTTTGAAGTGGATCTTACAGACCCAGCCATTTCGGTCAGAGGCGAAGCCTTGGTACAGCCCCATGTTCAGCTGGCAATTTCTTTTGTTTTGGGGTGGAAACTCTCAAACCACCATAGCTACCGTGAAATCGCAGTTGCAGCGTTTTTCTCACGCTGCACCACCACCGGGCTTGCAAGAGCACCAAAAGGGGCTGACATTGGTGTCGGTCACAGTTGCTTTGAACTAGCTGCCCGCTCTCTTAATTTGATTTTAGTTCAGGATTTCCGGATTCAATATTTGAACAAAGAACCAGGGAGCCTATGCTGTCTCTGCACTTTGGACTGATGAGACGCCACTCGCCTGGCTCAAGGGTAAAGATGAAGGCCCAGTAAAGCAAGCAAAACACTCAGGAGATTCTTGAGTGGATCCGTGCTGTTCAACTTTTGTTTGGCCAACACGGGCAAGTTGCTTCACACATCCAACATGCTTTCGAACGAAAGATACCGCTCGAGGATACAAGATATAAAAACGCATGGCGTCTCAATGCCGGTGCAGATGGCCGCTTGCAGTGGCTGAATTGCTTTGGTTGGAATTTGTCCTGTTGGGATGGTGAGACTCAAGTCCCGCGAGGGAGATTCTTTGCTGAATAAATCTGAATAGTATAGTCAGTAAGTAGCAGTGATTTGGCCCTGTGTTGCGCGCAGCAAAGGAAGTCTTGAAGAGAAACGTCTGCGTTACAGAAATCGAAAGCCATGGTACAGGGTAGAGAAGTGTTTAGCGAAGCGAACTAGACGACAGTGTGGCCCGAAAGAAAGCAGGAGGGAGGGGAGGAGAAGATAGCACACAAGAAAATATGATGGATGGTGATGATGACGATGATGACGATGATGATGAGGATGATGGTGATGGTGATGGTGATGATGATGATGATGACGACGGTGACGATGATGACGGTGATGATGATGACGATGACGACGATGATGAAGATGATGACAATGCTGACGATGATGATGAGGAGGAGGATGAGGATGAGGATGATGGTGATGATGATGGTGATGGTGATGGTGATGATGACGATGATGACGATGATGACAATGATGACGATGACGATGATGACGATGATGATGATGATCATGATGAGGATGATGAGGATGATGATGACGATGATGATGATGACGACGACGACGACGATGATGATGATGATGATGACGATGATGACGATGATGACTGTTGTTGCACAGTATGCCCATATTCATATTTATAGCTAATATAGTAGTCTCGATCTTATATACTGTGTTGAAGTGGCTCAAGAAATAGTGCTCCGCAGATTTGTGGTGTTTCCCGGTTTATAACTTGTTTCTACAGGTTATGGGCCTTATCGCCAAAGGCGATTGGCTGGTTTACCTTCGTGTCACTTCTCGCCCGAACTCCTCTTTGCACCCGCAATGGCAACTCCCCCAGCGTTACCTGCCCCGGGCGGGAACGCCACGGCTGCCCTTGCTGATGCAGGTGTAACGCGGCCCGAGGAGATGGTGATCCATTCTGGAGCAGCGACAACTGAAGGCGACATGAGTTACTTGGAAGATGACTTTGACCCCTTGGCTCAACATGATCCTTTCAGGAACGACCCACGCCGAATGACGCCAGGTGTTTTGGATTCAAGTGTGGAGTTCAGTCAACTGAACACCATCAACTTCAACAACATTGACCAGAGTACCGCCCAAGTGGCAGTGGCAAAACAGGGAGTGGATCCAGCACTGGCCGGTCAGATGATGGCTGCTCAACAGCAAGCATTCCAGTCGGAAGCCAATGCGCTTCACGCTGAGGTCATGGAGCGTCAGAGGGGGGCGCTTGTGAGTGAGGCTCCAGATCATCTCACACGCATTGAACAAACAGCAGCCGAAGAACTTTCCCAGAAGAACTTTTTGTTGAACGAACAAGCTGCCCATGCGATGAGCGAGCAGAAGTCTGCTCAGTTGCACGTCCAGTCGCAGGATCATCGCATCAAGGAATTGAGTGCCGAACATAGTCAAATTGTGAACACTGCAGGTCTCATGTCCACTTCTGTTGACAAGTCCAACGCCGATTTGCATACAGCCCGGTCAGAAACTTGCAGAGTATCGGACTCAACTTGAAACTATGAACCAGCACTCACTGGATATGAAGAAAGCTGCGGATTCTCAGGGACGGGACTTTGAGGCGGAGATTGAGAAGCGTCGGAAGGAACAGAAGGAATTGATCCGAAGTTTGAAGTCTCAACCTCTGCAAAAAAAAAATCCTGGACTACAGATTCAATATGACCCAGGTAAACCTTCTCAGCAACCGTCTCAGCCCTCAAGGCCTATCATTGAGGAACTTGATGCAGGTGGCAAGAAGCCTCTTCATTCGTCTGACCCTTCATGCCGCCTGGGTTGCCCGGTGGCGGACCTCCTGATGACGATGATGACGACTCTGATGATGGGAAGCGAGGTCGTAAAGACAAGAAGGACAAGAAGAAAGGCAGAAAAGCCAGTAGAGGACGATCCAGGCGCCGACGCCGTCGGGATCCGTCTTCCTCACCTTCATCTTCATCGCCTACCACACCTAGTTCGGATTCTGAGTTCCTTTATGTTCCTTTGCACGTAAGGTTAGGAAAGCTTTAAAACACTCTAGGTCATCCGAGATCAAGGCCAAAGAGTCTGATCGGGTACTAATTCCTAAGTTTCCTCAACCTGAGAATTACAGGAACTGGAGGATCAGGGTAAGGGATGCCGTGATAGCTGCTTCTGCTAAGCCTGATTTTGCATTCCAGTGGATTGAGGAAGTTTTCAAGACTGATCAATCCATTGAAGCCTTGAAGGACGCAAAGGGGACTTTGCACGGTAACTTGACATCTTTAAAGAAGAACAAGCCAAGTCCGGAATTCCAGCCAAGAGGACGTCGGGCGTTGCTCATGATTCACAAGCATTTTAGCACGAGTTGGAAACATGGTGCAGTGTATGACGTTGAAGATTTAATGGCTGTTACCTTAGTGAATGACGATCTAAGGCTCTAAGGGGTTTCATCACTAGATGGGACGCTGTGATCGCTGGAATGGCTTCCGAGCCTGACACCATGCGGAAGCAAGCATACTTCCACAATGTCATCAAGAACTTTAAGCCTCTCGCTCATGATCTGGCCGTGTATGATCGAACGCCTATGAGTTTCTCATGAAAGCTGCAAGGGATTACCTCGAGAGGAAGCGCTTGGAGAAGATGCGTCAGGCGACCAAGAAGTCATTGTCAGGGAAACGAGAAGCCGCACCAGCACCCAACAGACCTCCGGCTGCTGGGAAGCCCTAGGGAATTTGCTACAATTTCCAAGCCGGTAAGTGCACTAGGGCAAGGATTGCCGATACAAACATGAGAAGTCAGACAAAGGCAAAGGTGGAGGTAAGAAGGGTAAACCTAGATCTAAGTCACGAGGCACCAGTCGTTCTTTGTCTCCTGGCTCTAGGAACCAATTTTGCAAGTTTTGGAAGGCGGGGAAGTGTCACCGTGGTAGTGATTGTGCTTTTCAGCATCCGCCGAAGCCTGCAGCTCCGTCTACAAAAGACGACAAGCGTGGGAAGAGCAAGAACAAGAACAAGAAGAAGAAGAAGAAGAAGAAGAAGGGTGACCGTTCCAGGTCATCGAGTCGAGGTTCCAATTCCTCGAAGGGCTCTCAGAGTCTCAAGGAAAAAGGGGGAAAACCATCGTCTTCAGGTTCAGCTGCAGTTTGCCTGATGCGCGCTCTGATGATGGTCGCAGTGATCAACCCTTCGACCAGCACTCATCGCGTGCCGGAAAGCTTCGCCTCCACCCCGTATCACAAACAGCGTTTTGCAATGCCAGTTACACCCAACCGCACTGTTTCATTTGGGGACAACATTGAAATCTTTGAGTTCCCATCGAGCATGATTGTAATTTGAATCCATGCCATGCCAAGCAGAGAACTCACAATCCGATTTGCATCACGAAAGGCGATCAGTCTCGTAAAGAAACGATCGAAGCTCGTGAAAGTGATGCCATACTTTCTGCACAGATGTTGCAGTCAGTTGTCTTTAGGGAATTGCATGTGAAACCTTGCAAGTGCAATTTCAAGTGTGACAGTGATATCGGCTGTCGCCACTTCATCCGTTCCGATCTGAAAGCATTGCCCGGTCGCATGCCTTCGCAGCAGCGAAATGCATCCGCTGAGATTGCATGGATCGCTGACACAGGTAGTGCTCAGGACTTAGTTTGCAGTAAGATGATCCCTGAGGACTTAGTGTATCGCTCTCATGAACCCCTTGGATTCACAACTGCCAATGGTTCTCAATCAGCTGATCAACAAGCTTCTGTTCACATTGATTGCATCGACAAAGCAGTTCAACCATATGTTCTTCCTGATACCCCTGTTGTCATTTCGGTTGGGATGAGGTGCATTCAAGATGGATGGGATTTTGTTTGGAAAAGCTTTAGCCGATCTTACTTCAAGAAACGTGATGGTACCAAAATCAAACTTGAAGTGAAAGACTATGTCGACTATGTTCCCTATCTAACATCCAAAGATGGCCGAGTACCCGCTGCAGTAGGGATTCCTTTCTCATGGGATTCCGCTGCCGGGAACGGCAAGCCCATCATTTCACCAGTTCGGAAATCTCGCATGTCCGTTGTAGGC